CCCCAAAACCCCAAAACCCCAAAACCCCATAAAATATTAGACAACTAATTTTAGAGTTTAAAGAAATTAAATTTAGATCTATTAAGTAAGATTATGTGCCAGAATCTCAATAAGATTAATAATAATCTCCACTTGGGAAAACAGTCAAGTAGCTATTTGATCAATCAAATATTTTGATAATCTAGCTCCAATTCTTGTTTTACCTATCCTCCCAGTATTTTCCATTAAACTTATAGATTCTTTCGTTTGTAGATTCTATTAACTTTTACTCGAAGTACACAGGCTGATATTTGATACCGCATTCCTCGAGTTCCTTGCGCCTCTATCTCTAATTTTCCTCAAGTCTATGTTTTTCTTTGATAGCTGAGTCTGTATCTCCATTTTCAAGGGATCTCTAATCAGGTCTAAATCTAGAATCAGAGGGTGGCAGTTTTTCTTTTAAAGTTTCTGGGAGATAGTTAAGTTGAAGAGTGAAGTCAGAGAATTAATACATATAATCACTTTTTTCTGGTTTTGCATTCATTCTCCAAATCTCCTACTCTTCATTTGAATCCAAATTTACAAGATTTAGACTCTCAGTAAAGCGGCCCTAAACTTTGAAAAGGTTTCTTCCTGAAGCAGTCTTGACATGAGCGACTATCTAATTAGCATTTTTACCTGTCCAGCCTCTTTCTCTCCATTCAATCTCACAGTTTTCCTAAGTGGTGTGATTAATCACCTGAGTTTTTCCGTGCACGTCAATATAAAGTTTGCCAATAACAAGATTATGAACAGATGTCAAAGGTAAAGTGCAAGAGTAAAACTCTTATGTACCATCTTCAAGTTTTAAAGTTATGTAAACTCTATCTTTAGGAGCGAACATGACATAACGCCCATTGAATCTCATAGTTGTTCTGGCCTAAGCAAAAACTTCATAATATGTGTTCTCGCAGTAATAGGCAGTAATGGGAGGATGATGGCTTACTTGCTCAGATATAAATCTATAATTTGCTGTAACTAACTCATAGGTTTCCCCAAGCAAAGAGTTGAAAGGTTTATTCATTCTTCCAACAACATTGGAATATCTAGTGACACTATATGCAGAGACTAATGCCAACCTAATCAAACTATTAGGTTCTTTAGCAGCTCTTTCAAGCAAGTCATTATACTCGACAGTCTCAGCCAATCTTTAGTTTAATGAAAGCGGTTCGTTAAAGTAAACAGGCATGGAAACCTTAGTTAAATCTTTACCAACCAAATCCTTAAACACTTACCAAAAGCTGACTTTCATATTGGGTGGTCTCATATGAGGTAATGTGATTCTATCTTCAAAGACATCTTGGATAAATAACTTTTAAGACTTTACTAATTATTACGAAGAAACTATGATTTCATCTCTTGCATCTAAAAATATATCCTCTTCATCATCTATGTTGAATTCGAACTCAGTTTCATTATCCGATGATTCTCTTCCCTTGAACTGACTGCTTCTCCCACTGATCATTGAACTTGTGTCACTGTGTTTTTCCTCCTCTTCAAAATCCATATCAATTGGAAATCTGTTCAAATTATCTTGCTGGTTTCCATTTGAACTCGTAGAACTCATTGATGATCCGAATATCTTATTTCTAGATGAGCTGGTATTAATGTTGGTTGAGTTGTCAGATTGTCTTCTTTTTTCCTAAACTTTCTAGCTATGCTTAAACTTTTCTAAGTTGAACTTCTTAGGATCCTTATTAATTTCTAGGACAGCAATGCTCTCAAGAATTCTGAACATTTATTCTCGCGAGCTATCAATTTCAGTCACGATGTTCTTGATGAGGTCACCCATAGTCTTGCACAGATTCTTAAGACTAGTCATTTTTCTGACTAGCTGTGGCTATTTCTCTTCCTCTACTGTGCATTTGACTATATCAGCTAGTATTTCAACTTCTGTTGAGAACATCTTTTCTATTTCAGTATAAGCTTACAATTTCGTGTCTAAGTCACATTCATCTACGAATAGCCTGCTGGAAAATGATTCATATAAGTTATCCTTGAATGGCTGCACTAATGGATTATTTGCATTGAACGTCTCAATATCAAGCTTAACCTTATTTATAAAATCCTGGATCGTCTACACCCATTTATCTCTTTCTTTCTGATCCTGAGCTTTAAGGTATAATTTTTGTGGTTTCTTCTGGATATCAAAGGTTAAGATGACTTCTGTAGCATCTTTAGGATTAAAATCAGCTTATAACTACGCCAAATCTAATTTTAATCGCTGATCTTTATCATTTTTATCTTTCTGAATGACTAGGCAGCTTGATTTCAAGTTGACCCAGACTTTAGTATAACCACTGACAAAATTTTTATATTTTCTCAAATACCCTTCCATTTTCTGATTATCCAAGAAAGGAAAATTTATAATCACATAATTTGATTTCTAGATTAAATCTTCCCAACGGGGTTTTGGGGTTTTGGGGTTTTGGGGAGATCGGAAGAGC